TCCCCTTCGCTCTTCCGCCGCTCTACTTCTTTATTTATTCCGAAGAGCAAAAGCGTTACGCGAATCTCTCTCGATCTCTCTTCTTCTACGCGGACTCGCCTACCTCGAGGGTGAGAGTTAGCCAAGCACTTCCACTACACTGTACCTCTTGCACACGTACATAGTATGCGCGAGTGTGTAACTTCGGCCCTCCTAACTCTTTGTGGTTCTACGACGCGACGCGAGAAGTTTTCCGGCGCAATTCACGCGTGAAACACTCGTCCTCTCTCCCTTTACCTATACGCAGTACTGTGCGTGACCCGCGCATTCCATTTCGTAGCTTCGATCAGCTAATCGGACGTGCTTCGGCTACGTTCCAGTCGACTGCATCTATTACACATTGTAGTGGAAGGCATAAATCGAGGGACCGTCATTGTTGGCGGAGTCTCCATTATCAAGGCGGTTGTCGCGGATGAGTCGGCTGGGAGCGAGCTGGGAGCGAGCTGGGAGGGAGCTGGGAGGGAGTTGGGAGGGAGTTGGGAAAGAGCTGAGAGGGAGCTGAGAGAAGCGTAGGGACGAAGAGGGACAGGGAGAACGAGCGAATGCTTTGATTTTTATCAGACACGACAGCTCTTACACGAGCTCGGAGAGAGAGCTCATGCATCGCCGTCGCGGCGGCGAAGACGAAGGAGGCGAGGAGGGGGGCACACGCCGTGAGGAAGAAGAGGTAGAAGAACAAGAAGAAGAAGAGGAAGAAGAAGAAGCAGAAGCAGACGATGAAGAAGAAGAAGAAGAGGCAGAAGCAGACGATGAAGAAGAAGAAGCGGAGCCATCTCTCAGTGCACACCGGTGCACGTACGCGTGCAGTGTGTATCTACGGTGCGCTCCGGGACCGCTCCGAGATCCCAGGATAGACTCGGCACCCCGCGCGTCTGATCCTCCCTCCGAGCTCGAGTACTCTTGCGGCTACTTCCCCTTCCAGTAGCGGTACTCCTCGTGCTGTCGCGTCGGCGTTCGCGGATGCACGCGCGGCCCTCCGCCTCACTCACCTGCCGATCGCGCGCCGACCGCCTTGGCGTTGTAGCGACGGGATGCGTGCGCGCGAGACCCCTGGTAAGTGAGGTAGAGACGTCATCCGTCCTTGTTGCGTGTGCGCGGGCCGAAAATCGCCGCGGCGAGTCGACGAGTGCCAGCCTGGGGATGGGTGGGACGAACGCCCCAGTGTCCGGCGCGTTGCCGCGCCCGGGGAACGGAGCCACGGACCCTGGGGGCAGATAGGCGCCAGCGAGCCCCACCCTGCCCCGCGGATCAAGTCCACGAGACTCCCCCACCGTTCGCGGCCCTGTCCCACCCTCCCCCACCTCCCCGACAGTGCAGTGTGTCGAGCGCCGAGGAAGAGCACCACCACACACACACACACCTACCCACCCATGTACGTGGATTGCGGGACCGCCGAGGCAGCTCATGGCGGTGGCAGTGGCGGTGGTATTGACGGTGACGGCATGGGCATCAAGGCCATGAAGCCCTTTGGCAGACCCAGAGGTATCCCAGGTGCGGTGGCATTGTTGCCTCGAGCGGGAGCCGCCGTTGATGCACCGCCGTCCGCTATGAGGCGGGCGTGTTTGCTCGAACTCTGCCGTGGAGAAAACGGCGGCGACGGCCCGAGGACGCAAACGGGCCCCGTGCGATACGTAATCTCGGCGGCCAGTGACGAGGCTATTAGCGATCATGATCGGCTTGTTACCTACGGCCATCCATAAAAATTTAGCATAATAAGTAAGACCGGTTAATGATGCAAAAAGCCAATTGTCTCGCGAACAAAGGGGCGTCGTTGGCCTCACTGTGATACACTGATATCCGTGGCACAGCCACGAAAGAAAGTGTAAAGCTGTCTGCTGCATTGCGGGCGGGCGGGGAGGAAGAGGGAGGTTTACAGAAGCGGGTGTGCAAAGAAGCCATATTCGTAATGAGAAAAGCCGAGATTTTTTTGCATGTCGGTAGAACCTGGGCCCGAGCTCGAGCCCGAGTTACTTGGCCCTGTACGCGTAAAGGCATACACGGGTCCAGGATCGATTAAAAGGTACGTGGTAAAAGTAATGGGTTTTCGTGCTCGTTTTTCGTGCCGAATAGGCGTAGGAGCGGAATACATACATACAGGGCGTGTCGCCGATGTAGTGGCGCGGTGTTTTTGTCGCTAGTTCGAGAACCAAAGCGCTCGCGAGCCCCGGAAGGAAGACTCGCTGCCATCTAGCGGTGCGATTTTCAAAGCAAACAAACCGATCGCGTAAACTTTTATCCTGGGATCACGAGGTGCTTGGGTGCTGAGCTCTTCGAATCCCGCGCTTCAGCTTTAATGTCGAGTCGTTGGGCCGATGGAAGCTTTTCCTAAGTCGCGGTATTGTCTCGCGTCCAGACAGCAGCTCGGCAATGAATAGGAAGAAATGCCGTGGACCGCTAACGAGATTAGTCGACGTATAAGTGTAATCTATTTTATTATCGCTTTCGGCTATTTTCTAAATACAGCAACAACGCGACGCACGCAATGGCCAGAGTTTGGTGGGTGTGGGGTATCCTCGACGTAGTCGTCGAATCATACCCATACTGGGTCGAAGAAAGTAACAAATACAAATAACACGACAAAAGCGCAATTAAGCCGAATAGCGCAGAGAGAGAGAGAGAGAGAGAGAGAGAGAGAGAGAGAGAGAGAGATTGAGCGAGGTAGTGAGAGAGTGTGTGTGTGAGAGGGGGGGGGGAAGACGGGACGTTTGGGGATAGACGAGAAACAAAATTGTCGAACGATGCTCGTAGGCGCCCGCGCGCACAAAACATCAAACACTGGCGGCAGCGCGCAACGACGCCGAGAGCGTAATCAAGAAATAATGGTCCTCAATTTACGTACGTGCGCATAATTCAAGGATACGGGGAACTTTCGAACGTGTACCCGCAGAACGAGCGCTCGCGTTATGACAATGAAACGAAAAGTCAGGGGCCTGCTTGAAGCGCCCGGCCGAAACGCTGGCCGTAATCAGTGGCGCGGACGATAATATAAAAGGTCGAGCGCGAGGGAGGCCGGGAGAAAGATAATGAAGAACGAGAGATAGAAAAAGAGGCGGTTGATAGAGGAGAAGACTGAGGGAGAAGGAGAGACAATTGTGTCCTCGTTAGCGCGCGCGAACCGAGAAAAGTTCCTCTTTTGTGTAGAGACATAGACGAGGGAATATTCTATTTGGATTAAGCGCAAGCATTGGCAATATGAAAAACAATCATCTATATTCATAATGGGTTGATGCCTTGTGCATTAAAATACATTTTATTTATTTAATTATTTAATTCTTGGCTATGAATGACCTCTTGAAGGAGTAATTATCGTGAATAATATGATTATTTTCGAGCCTTATTAACATTAATAACGGCGGCTCGCTGATAAATTATTATACATTATTTTAATCAGCTACGTATCTCACTAACCATACGAATTTCAATTTTAATAAAAAACAGCCTGAAGCTATATTTATGTGTTATATTTATCAAAAACCTCTTGCGCGAAACTTAACCGTATCATTCGTAAAGTCGAATGAATCAGTCGAATGATGCGTTCGATACGCGGACGATAATTAAGTCGCGAATTACTTTGTTTGATTGCTATTATTGTATGCGATAACATAAGTATATTATCGATGGAGAAACGGTGGTAAGCTGCATTACACGCAGGACTCGAATAATTTCATTGCGCGCGGTCATAATACGGCATTGCGCAATCGGCCGCCCAAACTTATTAACTGCCGGCCGAGCAAGAAAATCCTTACTTTTGGACAAACAAGTCGCAAGTCTAACATCCCGTCGGATACAATAATAAAACATCCGGATAACAATGCGGCACGGAAGCCAATGGATCTAAACTCATCACCACCAGCGCTAGCAATAGCACCTCCCCCATCCACCCACACACTTCTACCCGCCACGTAAATTCAAGTCCTTAGCTACTATATCACCGCCCAATCCCCAATTCCCCGTTATCGCGACAAAAACTGTAAACCAACAACAACGCGTCCCACTTATCTCCCGCCTGATTTAACAATATCCTGCTCACTAGCGTCCCAAGCGATTGACCATACAGTCCTAGCGTTGGACCATATGGTCACGAAGTAACTTGGCAACAGAAGACTCTCGCTCTCTCCATGGCCGAGAGAACGGGCCTCCCCGCCCCCTAAGAGCTGGAATACGAAATCGATTCTCCAGCGGCCTCGTTACTCTAACGCACGAAAGACGCATTTTTCTACGACTTCCGGCGTTGATTTAACGGTCCATTCGCTCGGCCTGGCCTCGTCCTCGTCCTCGTCCTCGTCCTCATCCTCATCCTCATCGATGTCCGGTCTCGAACACTATCAGCCCCGAGCGCGCGCCTGCTCCGCGCAGATACGATAACCACGCGCGGCCACTTTTCCTGCGGTCCGCGGCCCTCACGCCTACGTATCTCTCCCTACTGCCCCTACTCTCCCGTCCTCCCTCCCTCCATCCCTCCTCACGCGGCCGCAACGATAATCGCCTCTGCCCGGGGCGGAATTCGCTTTTTCCAGGCTGCCCCGAAGCCGGCTCCCCCCACCAGTGCGCAGGAAAAATCAGCTCGTTCGAGCGGACGAGCCGTTTGATGCTGCGCCGCTAATTGCGCGAAAAAAGTGCATCCTGCGACGGAATATTGCAAATGCCCTGCTCGTCGAATTAATTATTGCGAATGGGAGTGCCCTGGACTGCCCACGGCGCCATGCCCATACGTCAAAATCGATGGGCAGTCGCGGCACGGCCGCGCGGTACCCGATTTATGCATATACACACAATGAGTCTCGTAGCGGCGGCTATTTTCTCCCGCTCCTGATGATGACGAGGCCCATGGCGTGGAGTGAGGGTGGTTAACCAAGCGTCATGATCCTCAAAAGTACATTGAGGAGGCCGCGTTAAGGTCGTTCGCGAAGGCCAAGATTCCGGCCCTTACTCTCGACGACCGAGATTAGGATGACAGCAGGTCTATCGCTTGGCGATGGGGAGGGAGGGGTATGCGAGCACTTGGACGACGAGTTCGCTCGCGGGTCCGTAGATACACCCGGCTGCGTGCGCTGCACATCGCGATGCCCTTATACGAGCATCGGGGAGCGCGCGCGAATATTTTATTAACGAGAGACTCGAAAGCAACCGCCGCCTATTTGTGGGGCGAGCAAAAAATAATTGAATATTAAATTTACGATTTATTACGGCTATTGTTTTACCAAAAGCGCGCTCCCTGCCCCGGGGACCATCATCCTTTTCATTTTACCCCCCCCCCCCCAAAAGCGATCCGTGGCTCCTCGTCCTCCCACCCTCCTCCGATCAATTTTTTTGCCTCTTTATCGCGATAAAAAGATATTACGGTGGCAGTCGCTCGACGGGTGCCGCATACGTGTGCGCATACGCGCGCGCGCGCCCGCGACGTATGTGAATTGTCGATGGGGCCTCGTCAAATTATACGTCATTAAAAAGATTGGAGCAAATTAAGTGTATGTACATGGGCCTAGAAAGAAGCGACGACGAGTCAATTGCTAGAAAACTTGAAAATAAGAAGACGAGCGTAATGCCCTTCGGTTCACCTTAACTTTCGAGCTAATAGTGTGTAATTTGTTACATAAAATGTTATAAAGACATTCAAGGTTATAATAATTTTATAAACAAGAGTAATTGCCGATGCATTGTGCTCAGCTGCGAGCGTGATATTTAATACTACGTAAGATAATATTGGGAGCTTTATACGAGCGAATATTATTTTAAATAAAAACTTATTAACGCGAGCAACAGGTATATTAATACAGTGTCCCGACTGTGCATTAAATGTTTGTAATCACGAGCGGCGGCAGCTCTTTCATTCTTAAGCGCGTTAAACGTGGTTAATGATTTTAAGCGGCGGCTGCGGCGGCCACTCGAGCCTCGGCCACGGCTTTTATTTCCTATTACGCGCGCATTTATACACGTAACGAAGCAAAAAATATGCCAGCCAATTTTGGAATATCTTCCTTCGACAATGTCAATTGCAATAACGCTAAATCGAGGCGATAAAGCGAATGACAGAGAGAGAGAGAGAGAGAGAGAGAGAGAGAGAGAGAGAGAGAGAGAGAGAGAGAGAGAGAGTGATAGAAAACCAATACTCCCCTCCCATCCCAACGCAACCAACCAACGGACACGCCACTTTCCACGCTCGACAATGTGCGTAGCCACGGACGATTGGTGGTAGACAGATTGTCGAGAGCGCTGGATCGCCGACGATTTTTTTTCGTTACATCCAGTTGCCTAGATAAGGCTAATCTAACCGCCCAACGGCCCACCAAGCGCCTATGTGTTATCCTATTAATAGGAGGGTAGGAAGGCATAGCACAGGAAGACGTGGTCGTTGTTGGCTGAAAACCAGTGGTTCTCTACCGCACGATCGACTGCCACGACAGGTGCGAGCTGTTCGCGATATTTACTACCTCGAGAGACGCTGATACGGCCCTGCGCGCGCCCCACCTTCTACGCCACCC